CATATTATTTTCTGTAGCCCATAGATAGACCTGATCTACATCTGATTGGAGGTTTGCCGTGTCCTCTATGTTGCCAACTCTCATGAGAATCCTAGTGTCATCTGCAAAGGATGATACAGTGCTATAGGTTGTGTTCTGGTCTATGTCGGATATGAGGATGAGAAAAAGTACTGGAGCAAGCACAGTACCCTGGGGGACTGAGCTCTTCACGGTTGATGGGCTGGATTTTATTTTGTTGACTATTACACATTGGGTTCTGTTAGTCAGGAAATTGTAGATCCATCTGCCTATTTTTCCGGTAATTCCTTTTTAACGCACTTTATGTGCAATAACACCATGGTCACATTTATCAAAAGCTTTTGCGAAATCTGTGTAAATTACATCAGCGTTTTGTTTGTCTTCCATAGCATCTAATGCCATATCATAGTGGTCCAGCAACTGTGACAGGCAAGAGCGCCCTGTTCTGAAACCATGTTGTCCGGGGCTATGGAGATGCTGTGATTCCATGTATTTTGTGATCTTACTTCTTAGCACTCTCTCAAACTTTTTTATGATGTGCGATGTTAGTGCTATCGGTCTGTAATTTTTTGCCTCTGCTTTATTTCCTCCTTTATGGAGTGGTGCTATCTCTGCTGTTTTTAGTATGTCAGGGATAACGCCAGTATCTAGGTTTTGTCTCCACAGAATGTGAAGGGCCTGCGATAGTGGTTTTTTACAGTTCTTGATGAATATGGAGTTCCAAGAATCCGGGCCTGGTGCAGAGTGCATAGGCATACTGTTTATGGCTTCTTCAAAATCTAGTGGGGATAGGGCGACGTCTGATATATGATTTGATGTTGGTATCATATCCATGAAAAATTCATTTGGGTTATCAATCTTTAGTGCATTTAATGGCTCGCTGAAAACAGAGTCGTACTGCTTCCTCAGTAACTCGCTCATTTCTTTGTTGTCATCGGTGAAAGTTCCATCTCCCTTTCGCAGGGGCCCGATACTAGATGTGGTTTTTGATCTTGATTTTGCATAGGAGAAAAAATATTTCGGATTTCTTTCTATTTCACTGATGGCCTTTTGCTCTCTTTGCCTCTCCTGGGTTTTGTATGATTCTTGTAGCTTGAGTTTAATTGTTTCTATTTCTCTACCTAACCTTCTTCGCCGTTCTTGAGATAGGGTGCGACTCTCAAGTTGTTCCGCGATTCGTTTTCTTCGCCTTTATAGGGAACGACGTTCCCGTTCCAATCTGCATCTCTTTCTCTTTTTTCTTAGGGGTATGCGGTTTGAACATATTTCTATGGCTACTGAGCTTATTTTTTCCAGGCACTGGTTCAGGTTTGCATTTCCTAGCTGTTCTTCCCAGTGGTAGTGGTAGGCCCTTCTTGCCTCCTGACACTTTTGGGTGACATAGTCCATCATGTCTTGTACGGACTTAGTTCTGAGTTCTGTGTCCCATGGTATATCCCTTATGAATCTTCTCATTTCATAATTTCCCTTTCGATAAGCCAGCTTTTTATTTCCCAGTTCTGTTTTGGGGGAGATAATTCCTAGCTCTACCAGGTATTCAAAGATCAATACACTGTGATCACTCATTCCCAAGGGGGGCTTCCAACTTAACTTCCCTTACATCCGATTTATTTAGGGTAAATATCAGATCAACCATATCTGGTTCATCCTCTCATCTCATTCTTGTCGGTCCCTTGATGTGTTGGCTTAGAACGTTTCTTGTTGCCACATCCAGCAGCTTAGCTCTCCATGTGTCCGGCGTTCCATGTTGGTCTCTGTTCTCCCAATCTATCTTCCCATGGTTGAAGTTTCCTACGATTAGTAGTCTGAATCCGTTCCTGCTAGCCTGTGAAGCTGCTCTATTATATTGATGGTGGCCATGTTGTTTCTATCATATTCCTGTCTGGGTCTTCTGTCGTTTGGTGGGGGGTTATATATGACTACTACAATAATTTTGTGTCCTCCAATTGCTATGGTACCTGTTAAATAGTCACTGAAATCTTCACAGTCCTGTATAACCATCTCGTCAAACTGCAGCCTCTTCTTATCAGCAGAGCTATACCACCTCCTCATCTTCCTTCTCTCATACCTATATTTGAATCATACTTATATTTGAAACTGTGTATGGAGTCAGCCTTCACCACATCACTTCCTATTGCATCCCATTTATTAATTACTCTGACACTGAAAAAATTTTTCTAACGTCTCTGTGGCTCATCTGGGTACTAAGTTTCACCTGAGTCTCCTTGTTCGTGTCCCACCCGTGCTGAAGATTTTGTCCTTGACCACCCTGTCAATTCCCCTGAGATTTTTGTAGGTGGTTATCATGTCTCCCCTTACTTACGAGGACAAAGCACTGAGGATAGCAGGACATAATAGAATACCAGAAAAAGAAGGGGTATGTAAGTTTATACGTGAGTTTATGAGTAAACTAAAAGAACACAAGGAAAACGTCAGAAAACCGATATTTTAGAAGATGGCTGTGCATCCAAGTTAACAAATAATGTGGGGAGGAGGAGGTTGATTGCAATTACTGGCCAATCTTTATGCAAGGCGAAAACGGATTTTTCTGAGCTATACTTGGGATTCGATCCCCTGCATGCTTGAAGTCAGTTAGACGCCAATCCGACTGTACACTTCCTGATGCGCAATCAAGCGTCAACGTGTACGACAGACAATGTTAGTACAGATCAACACTTGCTTGGGCCTGGTCAATAGTTCAGCTGTGAAGCCATTGTAACAAGTCACTGGAACACTTCCCGGAACGTGGACATGTCTCTAGTATAAAGCAACGCTGTGTACTCATCCATTTGTGCCTACAGGGTCGAGCTCTAGCTGTTGGACTGCGCCTTTCTAGCTGTCGGTTGTATAATGCAATGACTCCTGACCTATTTCCCTATCATATCTAATTTTTTAATGTTGTGGATTGAGCTTGCCGCTACAACCTGCTCCTTTAGGTCATTCCATTTCCTCACTACCCTTACGTTAAATAAAACTTTCTAACATCTCTGTGACAAATCTGAATCTTAAGCTTCCAACTGTACCCATTGTTCAATTAGTATTTATTGTAAATATTTCATCTTTTTCCACACTGTCAATCCCTCTAAATGTCTTTTACGTCTATCCTGTTCACTCTTTTCCTCCTCTTTCTCTAACGTCATCAGGTTTAGTTCCCTCTGTCTTTCTTCATACCTCTTACCTCGCAGCTCATGGACGAGTCTCGTTGCAAACATCTGCTCTCTTTCGAGCTTCCTTATGTGTTTATTATGGGGGCTCCACGATGGGACGGCGTACTCTAAGACTGGCCTCACATAGGCGCTATACACTGATATAAAAGGCTTCTCATTCAAGTTCCTGAAGGATGCTCTGACTTTTGCTAGCATAGAGTATGCGGCTATATAAATGACCTGGGGTATATCTACCCCCAGGTCATTTTCTCTAGTCGATATAGGAAGGTAGTTTCCCTTCATCATTTGTTCCCCTTCGTCATGTAATTGGCCTTTCGGTCTCCTGGCTGCTGATCTCATTCCCATCACCTTACATTTGGTGTTGTTGAACTCTAGCAGCCATTTCTCTGATCAGCTCTGCAGCTAGTTCAAGTCATCTTGCATAATTTAACAATCTTCATCTGTCTCAACCGTCATTAGCTTCGCATCGTCTGCAAACATTGACATATAAGACTCCGCTTCTACAGTCAAGTTATTTACATATATGAGGAATAGCAGGAGTCCCAACACCGATCCTTGAGGCACCCCGCTTGTTACTCTATGCCAGTCCGCCTCCTCGCTCCTCACTGTCACTCTATGACACCTGTCAGGTAATTCCTTACTCATGATAGTGCGTTTCTGTCTCTTCGAGCTTGTATAGGAACCTCCTGTGTGGTATTGTATGAATGGTTTTTTGGCAGTTCAGAAGGTGTGTGAGTGTGAGAGAAAGAGAAGGAGCGTGTTGATCACTCAAATCTACTAACCCAGACTAAACATCATTTAATAACTGCACTGCAATACATTGAAATTGACATAACTTACATAGCAAGATCTGTTGAGTATTCTAATAACCAGTAGAAGGTTTGCTGCCCTACGTGTCACGAGTAAACTTCACTGTAGCATATATATCAACAAACACTTATCAAACTCATTCCTAACAGTTGCTGAGCATAAAATATCAGTCCAGAAGTGTGTGCTAAACTTGGATAAAGTATATGATAGTGACTCCTCTGGTCAGCATACTGCTACACACTGTGCGTATTTGCTGAGAAATTGTGTCCACTGAAGTTTAATAGTCTTTATTTGTAATTAAACAATTAACATCGAAATTAGCGCTCATACTAGCGCTAATTAAAGCACTCTACCAAGCGTAGCTGTTTGCAGTGCTATAATTAGCGGAAGAGGTGGAGCGCTATACTTAGCGGAGGGATAAGCTCTCAAGAGTAATCTCTCCTTGTGCACCAAGATGAACAAAAGCCTCCATATATCTGAAGCCGATCATTCTAGTGTCACTGTGATCATTGTGTGGGAGTGATTGTGAGTGACAAGGGATGGTGTAGGTGTGGGAGTGGTTGTGACTGACAAGGGATGGTGCACGTGTAGGAGTGTTTGTGAGTGACAAGGGGGTGAGTGCAGGTGTGGGAGTGTTTGTGAGTGACAAGGGGGTGAGTGCAGGTGTGGGAGTGGCTGTGAGTGACAAGCAGGTGTGGGAGTGGCTGTGAGTGACAAGCAGGTGTGGGAGTGGCTGTGAGTGACAAGCAGGTGTGGGAGTGGCTGTGAGTGACAAGCAGGTGTGGGAGTGGCTGTGAGTGACAAGCAGGTGTGGGAGTGGCTGTGAGTGACAAGCAGGTGTGGGAGTGGCTGTGAGTGACAAGCAGGTGTGGGAGTGGCTGTGAGTGACAAGGGGGTGTGGGAGTGGCTGTGAGTGACAAGGGGGTGAGTGAACGGCATTAAACATGACTTCAGTATAATTACTTGTCTGGTCTGATCAATAATAACAAAACAATATATCAGAAGGCGAGAAGAAGAGTCTGGACACAACTCTCCAGTCTGGACACAACTCTCCAGTCTGGACACAACTCTCCAGCCTGGACACAACTCTCCAGCCTGGACACAATTCTCCAGTCTGGACACAACTCTCCAGCCAGGACACAACTCTCCAGCCTGGACACAACTCTCCAGCCTGGACAAAACTCTCCAGCCGGGACACAACTCTCCAGCCTGGACACAACTCTCCAGCCAGGACACAACTCTCCAGCCTGGACACAACTCTCCAGCCTGGACACAACTCTCCAGTCTGGACACAACTCTCCAGCCAGGACACAACTCTCCAGCCAGGACACAACTCTCCAGCCGGGACACAACTCTCCAGCCTGGACACAACTCTCCAGCCAGGACACAACTCTCCAGCCTGGACACAACTCTCCAGCCTGGACACAACTCTCCAGTCTGGACACAACTCTCCAGCCAGGACACAACTCTCCAGCCAGGACACAACTCTCCAGCCGGGACACAACTCTCCAGCCTGGACACAACTCTCCAGCCAGGACACAACACTCCAGCCTGGACACAACTCTCCAGCCTGGACACAACTCTCCAGTCTGGACACAACTCTCCAGCCAGGACACAACTCTCCAGCCTGGACACAACTCTCCAGCCAGGACACAACTCTCCAGTCTGGACACAACTCTCCAGCCAGGACACAACTCTCCAGCCAGGACACAACTCTCCAGCCGGGACACAACTCTGCAGCCTGGACACAACTCTCCAGCCTGGACACAACTCTCCAGCCAGGACACAACTCTCTAGCCTGGACACAACTCTCCAGCCTGGACACAACTCTCCAGTCTGGACACAACTCTCCAGCCAGGACACAACTCTCCAGCCGGGACACAACTCTCCAGCCTGGACACAACTCTCCAGCCTGGACACAACTCTCCAGCCAGGACACAACTCTCCAGCCGGGACACAACTCTCCAGCCTGGACACAACTCTCCAGCCTGGACACAACTCTCCAGCCTGGACACAACTCTCCAGCCAGGACACAACTCTCCAGCCAGGACACAACTCTCCAGCCTGGACACAACTCTCCAGCCTGGACACAACTCTCCAGCCTGGACACAACTCTCCAGCCAGGACACAACTCTCCAGCCTGGACACAACTCTCCAGCCTGGACACAACTCTCCAGTCTGGACACAACTCTCCAGCCTGGACACAACTCTCCAGCCTGGACACAACTCTCCAGCCAGGACACAACTCTCCAGCCAGGACACAACTCTCCTGCCTGGACACAACTCTCCAGCCAGGACACAACTCTCCAGCCTGAACACAACTCTCCAGCCAGGACACAACTCTCCAGCCTGGACACAACTCTCCAGCCTGGACACAACTCTCCAGCCAGGACACAACTCTCCAGCCTGGACACAACTCTCCAGCCTGGACACAACTCTCCAGCCTGGACACAACTCTCCAGCCAGGACACAACTCTCCAGCCAGGACACAACTCTCCAGCCAGGACACAACTCTCCAGCCAGGACACAACTCTCCAGCCTGGACACAACTCTCCAGCCTGGACACAACTCTCCAGCCTGGACACAACTCTCCAGCCTGGACACAACTCTCCAGCCTGGACACAACTCTCCAGCCTGGACACAACTCTCCAGCCAGGACACAACTCTCCAGCCAGGACACAACTCTCCAGCCTGGACACAACTCTCCAGCCTGGACACAACTCTCCAGCCTGGACACAACTCTCCAGCCTGGACAAAACTCTCCAGCCTGGACAAAACTCTCCAGCCTGGACAAAACTCTCCAGCCTGGACAAAACTCTCCAGCCGGGACACAACTCTCCAGCCTGGACAAAACTCTCCAGCCTGGACAAAACTCTCCAGCCGGGACACAACTCTCCAGCCTGGACACAACTCTCCAGCCTGGACACAACTCTCCAGCCTGGACAAAACTCTCCAGCTTGGACACAACTCTCCAGCCGGGACACAACTCTCCAGCCTGGACAAAACTCTCCAGCCGGGACACAACTCTCCAGCCTGGACACAACTCTCCAGCTTGGACACAACTCTCCAGTCTGGACAAAACTCTCCAGCCTGGACAAAACTCTCCAGCCGGGACACAACTCTCCAGCCTGGACACAACTCTCCAGCCGGGACACAACTCTCCAGCCGGGACACAACTCTCCAGCCTGGACACAACTCTCCAGCCTGGACAAAACTCTCCAGCCTGGACAAAACTCTCCAGCCGGACAAAACTCTCCAGCCGGGACACAACTCTCCAGCCTGGACACAACTCTCCAGCCTGGACACAACTCTCCAGCCGGGACACAACTCTCCAGCCGGGACACAACTCTCCAGCCTGGACACAACTCTCCAGCCGGGACACAACTCTCCAACCTGGACACAACTCTCCAGCCTGGACAAAACTCTCCAGCCTGGACACAACTCTCCAGCCAGGACACAACTCTCCAGCCGGGACACAACTCTCCAGCCGGGACACAACTCTCCAGCCGGGACACAACTCTCCAGCCTGGACAAAACTCTCCAGCCTGGACAAAACTCTCCAACCTGGACAAAACTCTCCAGCCTGGACACAACTCTCCAGCCTGGACAAAACTCTCCAGCCAGGACACAACTCTCCAGTCTGGACAAAACTCTCCAGCCTGGACAAAACTCTCCAGCCTGGACACAACTCTCCAGCCTGGACACAACTCTCCAGCCTGGACACAACTCTCCAGCCTGGACACAACTCTCCAGCCTGGACACAACTCTCCAGCCTGGACACAACTCTCCAGCCTGGACACAACTCTCCAGTCTGGACACAACTCTCCAGCCTGGACACAACTCTCCAGCCTGGACACAACTCTCCAGCCTGGACACAACTCTCCACCCTGGACACAACTCTCCAGCCTGGACACAACTCTCCCGCCAGGACACAACTCTCCAGCCTGGACACAACTCTCCACCCTGGACACAACTCTCCAGTCTGGACAAAACTCTCCAGCCTGGACACAACTCTCCAGTCTGGACACAACTCTCCAGTCTGGACACAACTCTCCAGCCTGGACACAACTCTCCAGCCTGGACACAACTCTCCAGCCTGGACACAACTCTCCAGCCTGGACACAACTCTCCAGCCTGGACAAAACTCTCCAGCCTGGACAAAACTCTCCAGCCTGGACACAACTCTCCAGCCTGGACACAACTCTTCTGGTCTGTACAAGCACACTGATCAAACTCTCTCCTCTTCACACAGGCAACTGTAAATAGTAATACACATTGCATAATATATATGGTTCTGAATGTAACTGTAGTAAATATATCAGGACAACAGTAGTTGAGTGTTGTCGTGGCTCAGCAGGAGACGTAGTGTCGTTCATGGTCTGTTAATGCAAACTGGTAAATAACGATACACTTTAGCGTGTTGCCTAATATAAACTGTTCATAGTTGTATGGTGTTGCATTTTGACGTCAAAATCCCCATCGGACAATATATGATATACTATCATCAGAGCGGCTCACAAACAAGATCGTTTTCTATGCGTCGGTATATTGGTTAGGTAAGGGTAGGTTCGAGCAATTTCGTACAACATTTTTGGACGTTGTGGCAACTGGAGAAGCGCTGGGCAAAGTCTGTCTCCTGGGCGGACAAAATGGTATCTGAAGTTTAATTCAGTCAATTTACCCAATATGTTTTAGTCCTTTCCAATACCATTGTATTGTACTTAGAGTTTATGTAAGTACTTGATTGTATTTCAATTATGTCTATTATGTATACACATTAAGAAATGTTTATTATTATCTAATTCTATGTGTATAAGCTAATCTAGGTATTTGACCCAATCAAATCCATCAAACACTGATGAGTCTTCCCCACCCCCCCTCCTCTACATGTGAGGTGGTGATATGAGTCTCCAGGGCTTAGTGAGGACTTGACGAATTCGTAACGTGATTTACACTATTATTCACACTCACTAACATTGTACAGCATGCATTCACATTCACTAACATTGTACAGCATGCATTCACATTCACTAACATTGTACAGCATGCATTCACACTCACTAACATTGTGCAGCATGAATTCACACTCACTAACATTGTGCAACATGCATTCACACTAACATTGTACAGCATGCATTCACACTCACTAACATTGTGCAGCATGAATTCACACTAACATTGTACAACATGCATTCACACTCACTAACATTGTACAGCATGCATTCACACTCACTAACATTGCACAGCATGCATTCACACTCACTAACATTGTACAGCATGCATTCACACACACTAACATTGCACAGCATGCATTCACACTCACTAACATTGTACAGCATGCATTCACACTCACTAACATTGCACAGCATGCATTCACACTCACTAACATTGTACAGCATGCATTCACACTCACTAACATTGCACAGCATGCATTCACACTCACTAACATTGCACAGCATGCATTCACACTCACTAACATTGTACAGCATGCATTCACACTCACTAACATTGCACAGCATGCATTCACACTCACTAACATTGTACAGCATGCATTCACACTCACTAACATTGCACAGCATGCATTCACACTCACTAACATTGCACAGCATGCATTCACACTCACTAACATTGTACAGCATGCATTCACACTAACATTGCACAGCATGCATTCACACTCACTAACATTGTACAGCATGCATTCACACTCACTAACATTGCATAGCATGCATTCACACTCACTAACATTGTACAGCATGCATTCACACTCACTAACATTGTACAGCATGCATTCACACTCACTAACATTGCACAGCATGCATTCACACTCACTAACATTGTACAGCATGCATTCACACTAACATTGCACAGCATGCATTCACACTCACTAACATTGCACAGCATGCATTCATACTCACTAACATTGCACAGCATGCATTCAAACTCACTAACATTGTACAGCATGCATTCACACTCACTAACATTGCACAGCATGCATTCACACTCACTAACATTGCACAACATACAATCGTCACATACAGTACATTCACCACATCATTCACACTAAGCTGCTCACAAAAATTCAACACCATCACCAAATTAATTTTAACCCAAAATATATTAAACATTCACCATCCTCCTAACCAAACATATGGCTTAATTTATGCTTCATATATAAATATTAGCTATTGCAAATGGATATAATATAAACAACTCAAATTATATGCACATTACCGCACAGCTGTAGTGACGTAGATGTAGTAACAATGGCACAAATTAACATAATAATTACGTGTCTGCCCTAGAGAACAAAAGTGGTAATTGACAAAATGTGTTTGTCAGTTTCACTTTTCAATTACCTCGAGTTTAAATGCTTTTATTTTGATTTATTATACACTTTGAGGTTCAGTACTTACCAAGCGAGTGTTGTGGAGTTGTATGAGAAATGTGTAGCTGTGGAGGGGAGCAGGAGGTGGCGAGGGAGAGGTGCGCACTGCACCTGGCACGGGGGATGAATGGTCACTACTGACCCAGCCAGCCAGTATTTATGGACCCGAGGCTAAAGTCAGCTCACATTTAATTGGTCGAGGGCGCTTCATCAGACAAGCTCCCTCCCACGCATGCGCTCTTACCACTTCAGTCTTAGGGAAACACGTAACGGGACTACATTTACGTATATATGTGTGTACTCACCTAGTTGTTGGTGTAGTTGTGCTTGAGGGGGGTTGAGCTCTAACTCTTTGGTCCCGCCTCTCAACAGTCAGTCAACTAATGTACAGGTTCCTGAGCCTACTGGGCTCTATCATATCTACACTTGAAACTGTGTATGGAGTTAGCCTCCACCACAACACTACTAATGCATTCTATTTGTCAACTACTCTGACACTAAACAAATTATTTTTAATATCTCTATGGCTCATTTGGGCACTAAAATTCATCTGTGTCCCCTAGTGCGTATACCCCTTATGTTAAATAGCCTGTCTTTATCTACCTTATCGATTCCTTTCAGATTCTTGTATTTGGTGATAATGTCCCCTCTAACTCTTCTGTCTTCCAGTGACGTGAGGTTTAATTCCCGTAGTCTCTCCTCGAAGCTCATACCTCTCAGCCGGGTAATAGTCTGGTGGCAAACCTTTGAACCTTTTCCATTTTAGTCTTATACTTGAATAGATATGGACTCCATGTTGGAGCAGCATACTCCAGGATTGGTAAGGCATATGTGGTATAAAAAGTTCTGAATGATTCCTTACACAAGTTTCTAAAGGCAGTTCTTATGTTGGTCAACCTTCCATATGCCGCTGATACTATCTTCTTGATGTGGGCTTCAGAGGACATGTCGGGTGTGATATCAACATCCATGTCTCTCTCTGATTCTTGAAGAATTTCACCTCCCAAATGATATCTTGTATCTAGCCTCTTGCACCCTACACCTATCTTCATTACATTACATTTGATTGGGTTAAACTCTAACAACCATTCGTTCGACCTTTCCTTCAGTTTGTCCAAGTCGTCTTGAAGTCTCAATCAGTCCTCCTCTGTCTTAATCCTTCTCATAATTTTGGCATCGTCAGCAAATATTGAGAGGAATGAGTCAATACCCATTGGGAGATCATTTACGTATATCAGAAACAGGAATGGTCCAAGTACAGAGCCCTGTGGGACTCCACTGGTGACATCACGTCAATTTGAGGACTAACCCCTCACTATAAATCTCAACTTCCTGTTGCTTAGGTACTTCCTTATCCACTGGAGCACCCTACCAGTTACACCTGCCTGTTTCTCTAGCTTATGTACTAGCCACTTATGGAGTACTGTGTCAAAGTCGTTCTGATAGTCAAAGAAAATGCAGTCCACTTATTCTTCTCTTTGTTGCTTAATCTTTGTCACCTGGTTGTAGAATTCTAATAAGCCAGTAGGGCAAGATTTACACTCCTTGAACCCACGTTGTCGATTTGTCCCTAACACATCTAGAAGAAGTCACTTCTCTCAAAATGTGTTACTAGGTTTTTTCTCACAATCTTCTCCATCACCTTGCATGGTACACAAGTTAAGGACACTGGCCTGTAGTTCAGTGCCTGAACTACACCCTTTTTGAATATTGGGACTACATTAGCCGTCTTCCATATTTCTGGTACTCTCCCATCCTACTATACACTACGGAGAGTGGCAAGCAAAGTGCTTCTGCACACTCTTTCAATACCCATGGTGAGATTCCATCCAAACCAACAGCTTTACTCACGTCCAGATCCAACAGGTGTCTATTGACCTCATCTCTTGTAATTCTGAACTCTTCAAAGGCCTCCTTGTTTCCTGCCACCTCTCCTAGTGCAGTGACCTCACCTCGTTCTGTTGTGAGAACCTCCTGGAACCTCTTGATGAGTTCTTCACACACATTTTTGTCATTCTCTATATACCAGTTGTCACGGTAATCTCTCTCAAAAGGATATTCGGCCTGCTCCATCATCATCTATTCTACTATACCACGTCTTTGAATTTAAGAACTCGAGAATGTACAGCAACAACAATGACAACAACTACTTCTCTACGTCTAAACGGTGGACTACCTCTGTCCTACACCACGGCCCGTTACCCTCCGCGCACCTGGTGGCTGGGATCTCGCCTCCAGCCAAGGAACAAGCCCAGTGGTAGTTAACGTGAGCCGGTTCCTAGTTATCTACGACTTCAGCGCCACCTACCTTGGTCCAGCTCTCATATAAATAGAAGCCAGCCACCACCACGATTCAGATTACTCCAGAGTGCTCTACTGAGTAGACCTGTTGACATATCTCTGTATGGTAGCAGGTTTATGCAGACAAGCTCACAGTATTCTACCAACATATTTTATTTGCACATTAACGTAACGTAAATTTGATTGTTCATATTGTTTGTTTTGCACACTTTGTATTAGAGCCAAGCCTGGATATTATATTTTGTTTTGTAAATTGTTTAAAGTAATGTTTCCTCAGTAAAGTACTTTAAATTTTGTTCTCTCTATACTTTATTCTACAGTTACCTTACGGTGGAGACAAATAGCAGTCTTAACTTTTTTTTATAATTTTATGTGACTCTCATTCCCTCTGCCCTAGAGAGACTGCCCTAGAGAATCCATTTTCCCGTCACACTGTCTTCATCCGTTTTAAGTTTCATCACCTGTTCTTTCACTGTTGTTTTCCTCCTGATGTGATTGGAGTAGCTTTGGTTCTGTCTGGCTTTATTAACTATATCATTTTCATACTTTTTCTCAGCTTCTCTTCTCACACTAACATACTTAGTCCTGGTTCTCAGGTATCTCTCTCTCTGCTTTCTGGTGTTTTATTATTTCGGAAATTCCTGCACGCCCTTTTATTCAGTTCCTTTGCTTCCATGCATGCCCAATTAAACCATGGATTCTTGTTTTGCCTCTCGGATTTTTCCCCTTTAGGCCGGGATACCTGTTTACTGCCTCCTGGCACTTTTATGTGACATGGTCCATCATGTCTTGTGCGAACTTCACAGAACTCATGGGACACAGAACTCTGAGTTCTGTGTCCCATGGTATATCTCTTAGGAAACCTCTCATTTCCTCATAATTTCCCTTTCGGTATGCCAACCCTTTGTTTCCTAGTTCTTTTCTTGGGGAAGATAAATCCTAGCTATACCAGATACTCAAAGATCAGTACTCTGTGATCACTCATTTCCATGGGTGCTTCCAACTTAACTTCCCTTATATCCCACTCATTGAGGGTAAATATCAGATCAAGATGTCATGACCACACATACACCAGTATGATCAAACTGTGGCTGATGTATGATGCGTTCAAACTGTATAGTGTTATCCTGGCTGATTAGCCTAATATCACAAATATTATTATATATATATATATATATATATATATATATATATATATATATATATATATATATATATATATATATATATATATATATATATATATATATATATAATCTTTTGACAATACCCTAGTATATGTTACGTATTGCCATTGTACGTTTGATAAACCTATACATATTATGTATTAGTACCAAATGTATATGACATGTATTTTTGGATATATTGGAAGTAGAGTAAATAGCAGAATCCTAATGTCCTGTTGCTTGGAAAACACCATTATGTCCCTATAGTATGGAATGCTACGTGTTGCTGTATAGGACATACTATGTGCATTATAATGTAGAATGTATACATTTATATACTTAATGTACGATGAGCATGTATACTGTGATATATCAAATTCATAACTGTTCATTGCACTGGCCTCTTGTTCATGTTAGTAACTTATTTTCTGGTATTGTGAGATTTATATCACAGGTACTTATGTTGGTATATGATGCTTTACTTTATTTCATGTATACTTATGCGAACAAGCCTGAATGGTCCCCCAGGACTATATGCAACTGAAAACTCACACCCCAGAAGTGACTCGAACCCATACTGCCAGTAGGAACGCAACTGGTATGTACAGGACGCCTTAATCCACTCTACCATCACGACCGGACAAAAACTGATGGTAGCCGAGGCTATTTGTCCATCATCCCAAATATATATATATTGGGTGGATGATGGAAAGGTGGATAATATGGATGGTAATGTATCCATATATATTACCATCTGAGTGCCGGCGGGCTGATGGACAAATAGCTTCGGCTACCATCAGTTTTTGTCCAGTCGTGATGGTCGAGTGGATTAAGGTGTCCTGTACATACCAGTTGCGTTGCTCCTGGCAGTATGGGTTCGAGTCACTTCTGGGGTGTGAGTGTTCAGTTATGTATAGTTATGTATAACGGCTGCCTGGCAACGTCTTAATCCTACCTTAACCCCCCCCCTCCCCATCATCCTTTTGCGTACCGTCTCCACCCAGTGTTACCATGTCTTGCTGATTTGAAGTCGCTGTTGACATTTTGTATATATCAGGGAGCCGGTCGGCCGAGCGGACAGCACGCTGGTCTTCTGATCCTGTGGTCCTGGGTTCGATCCCAGGCGCCGGCGAGAAACA